CTTTGAAAGATCTTACTTAGTCTCTGTCTGAAGTCGAGGGTAGCGACCTAGCTCTTGTTGAAATATGCATAGCTTTTGTTTGATACGTATAGGACACCTTCAGAGAAGAACCCCATCCTCAACAGGACTTAATGCCTTGTTCCACAGGTGTCTGTGAAGATAAATTAGATTCCACTTAGGTCTAAGGTCAGGCTGCCAAAGGTGACATAGTTAACGATGAATAAGATGACTAATTTCTAAGCAGACCACGGCGGATGTAAATTCTTATGGTGGTAAAACCTAACTGGTCCCTTCAAACGACTTCCTTTCCCTGAACCATGCAAATTATAACATTATCGGTTTAACATAAAATTGGTCGAGTGGATTGCTTTCACTTGAAACTTTGATAAATTGTAACTCTGTGCCGACTATGTCGGCGAAACGTTTGGGAATGTATCAAGTCAATGGTCCGACGCTGGAAATCACGAATACTCCGAGAGAAGATAAAGGACTAGGTACATTTTACAAGGCTTCCCTGGCACTCCGTCAAGTAGCGAAAACAGGCTCAAACAAATACAACATTAATGTTCGCTGTTTTTTCCTTCGTGGTCACCTGAATATTCCAATTTCTTAATATTGACCATAGTTTTTGAGTTCGTTCTCAGGAAGGGAGGCATATCCACTTTTGTGAGTTTTCCTCCATTTTTACCTTTCTTTCATAATTCCTTTCTTGCCATTGGCTATTCACTGCCAGTATGTAGCTTTTGCATTACTTCTTTGGGTATCCTTTGCCGAGGAATAGCCTAGTCCATTTGTCCTATTCTTCATTCACGAATTTCTCGTCCGCTAATCGTAGTCTTCTGATTATCATGCTCCTCAGTATTCCTATCCTCATTATGTAGTTGTGACCCGTAATTGAGTATTATTCTGACATATGACTTTCTAAACAATTTTCTTTTGAGTGTCCCATTAGATCGGATGATTTCAACATACAGGAAAGATAAAAACCTCCCTTCGTCTGCTTCCATTGTTAACTTGATTATTTCATCAATCTGGTTTATAGTATTAGGACAACTGTCTAATTTTTCTCTTCGATACGACCAAAGTGCTAAGTAGTCATCCAAGTACCGCATAAGGACTCTTGGTTAGTCTTGAAATTATCTTCTAATTTGTTCATGTATGCACTTATCGATAGAGGAAATAGCTGCGATTCCATAGGAAGTCCAAATGTCTGTTCTTAGATGTTGCCATTGGATGTGAACTAAGTAGTTCTTATTGCC